CCTTCACATGCAGTACACACTCGAGTGCCTTTTAGGCGTAATTTAAATTTAGGCGCCTGTCTTCTCTACCGAAATCACGGAAATTAAAGTTACACCGAAAATCACATGTTTTACAGTATGCTGTCCAGGAGGTAGCGGGAGTATTGACAAAACAACCTGTTGGCAGGAACTCTCTGAGTTGTACAAACAGACATGATGCCCTGTGCAGCCAATCAAATACGTTTTCCCCCTCAGCAATACTGTGGCTTGGCTGATACGTAGAGAGGCCAGGTTAGTATCACGCTGATAAGGAAAGCAAACACACAGTTGCTCTGAAAGACTAATCTCAACTAGGAAGCTCATCAAGCTAGGCATTGCTGTTTTGCTAGCACATGCTCATCAAGCTAGGCATTGTTGTTTCGCTAGCACACGCTCATCAAGCTAGGCATTGTTGTTTCGCTAGCACACGCTCGCTATTGCGACCACCGGTGCTCGATTTTCAAATGTGAGGCCGTGAAAGGGTTTCAAGATATCTTTTCAATAGCACCATGCACTAGCTTGTGTTGCAATCTTTCAAGTAATGCAGTCCCAGTTGAAGACTTATTTCTTCTAGCAGTAAACATTCCAGCTGGCATATCGTTCTGCACATTATCACCTGATTTCATCTATTAACACACAGCAGAAGATCTATGAAACACCCACAGTGCCATATCCATGTATGGTCATATGCTTTCTATGCGTGCATTTTCTGCTTGCTTGTTACTTGTACCTTTGCTGTTGCTGTACATGCATGCGATATACAACCAAAGGTTATAATTATAAATCTTTATTCGCACGATGGGTTCTTGTTCGGATTGTCTCACAAATGCTACATGATTGTACTTGAGTCAGTTGGAGAATCGCAGTGCCTTTCTTTGCTTATTTCTCTCTGTTTCCCTCTTTCTCTGTCTCTGTCTCCGTCTCTCCATCTCTATCTCTGTTTGTCTGTCTGTCCGTCCGTCTGTCCGTCTCTGTTTCTTTCTCTCTCTGTTTCTCTCTTACTTTTTTTTAATCTACTTGTTAAAGCTCATGTATGACCTTACCATCACATCAATCTTCAGTTCTGGGTTGGAGGTGAGCTCAAAGAAGACGTCGTTGGCAGCCTTAGACCATCTCAGTTGACTTCCATTCGTAGAAGACTGTCCTTCCAGCTACAGTTCCACAGGCATGCAAAGAGCATATGCACCAATTATGTTGCCCACTGCTACAGAAGTCATCATTAGCAGCATTGTGCAATTTCTATTCTACACACACGCACACGCACGCACACACACACACAAACACACACACGCGCGCGCGCACACAATCAATGACAAAGCAGAGCACATGAATGGGAACTTTCTTTCACTAGAGCACAGAAGTAAACCTGGCAAAACCCCACAGAGAGTTGCAATAATCAACGCACCTCATCCTTGGCGATACCTTCTTGGTAAGGAATCAGCTTGGTGAGGTGGCAGCGGGTAGCCAGCTGCGGCATAATACTCAACGAATGAGTCAATGGCCTCAAGTCGTCAAAACCAACTACTTCTCTGTTGCCATAATCAACAAAGAATATCTGTCAAAGAAGACAAGAAAAGTAGAGAAGAGAGGGAAATATGTAGAGGGAGAAGAGGAGAGAGAGGGTGTGGGGGTGGGGGTGGTGTGGGGAGGTGCAAACAAGGTCAAGGCTGCAACTCAACAACTGCCAATGGTCAGGCAGCGAAACCAGTACAGTAACGGTTGGTTTTAGCCATGAAACCCTGAGTTGCGGTCATAGCCTAATTTGCCATTCTGTATATTAGTATCGAAGCTATGACCGCTGGGCACTCGACAACTGTCGCAGGACTTGAGCATTGTGCTTTGATCTTGCCAATAATTCATTACACAGCTCTGTTATCCATCGTTACCAAGTGAATACACATTTATCCAATAGAGTCATGAATACAAGTTGTTCTAAAGCAAAAGTTTGTCTTATCAGTGTTCCTCTTAATGACGTTTCACCGATGTGTCCAAAGATCCAAACACGTTTTTTTCTGCCCAGTGGCTTACCTCGGCTTCCCGGGAGTCTGGGAATAGTTTGGTGATGCGGCCACGATACCAGACACAATCCTCGCTGTACATGGCACAGCACACTCCCCCCGCCTTCCAGAACTCGGCATGCATGGGCTGTGTCTGCTGACAGTGCACTTCTACCGATGTCATGATTCTACAAAATGTAGCAATAACCCCACACACACATGCATTCGCATGCACACACGCACACACACATGCCATGCACATGCACAAACACACACACACACACACACACACACACAGATATGCATGCACAAACACACATGCAAACACTTTTTTGGGAAGAGAGAAAGAGAGAGAGAGCGAGAGCGAGAGAGAGAGAGAGAGAGAGAGAGAGCGAGAGAGAGAGAGAGAGAGAGAGAGAGAGAGAGAGAGAGAGAGAGAGAGAGAGAGAGAGAGCGAGAGAGAAAGAGAGTTTCGAAAGTGATGCGTCAAACAAGGCTGCACAGTAGAAAATTCCCGTGCTACTTTGGATGCAACTTCCTTGCACAGACCCTCTGGAGGATTCTGCTTAGAGGGATTCCTTCTACAGTTGTGGCAAGTGAAATCCGACACTTGCCATAGGGGACAGCGCCACAAATGGACACCAATGATGTAATGCACTGCACCTAATTTGTACTATAGAGCCGTATGCATCCCGAACAGATCGAAAGGTCACAGCGTAGATACACACAGTTCACAAATATGGTACACATAAGGAGTATTGGTATCCAATCCCCATTCATTTTTGCCAGCACCTTTTGAACCTTGACTGTGATGAGTACGAGTTTTGTCATCAGACAGATAAAGTTGTATGTAACACATGTACTGTACGTATGCAGGGCTGCAGGGGCTGCAGACTGCATGGTGCAGTCCCTTATGCCAAATGTCGGATTTCACTTGCCACAACTGTAGTTCTCCAAACTGTGCAGTGTTCCACATCTTAGCCACGTTTTACAAAAGCGGGCCATTATAAAAATTAACCCTTTTCATGCTGGCCTGTTCCCCCCAGTAATCTGGCACTCTAGCGCACAGACTCTCCTAGTGGAGTTTGGGCACACTGCTCCGAACGAAATTTATTCTCATTTCAGTTCCCCTGGATGGAATTTCATCATCCTGGGCTTGTTGGAAAGATCAGGACCAAGCGAATCCACCCTGGAAGCTCTCAGCTCCATAGCCCCACCAGGGCCACTTCCACGACCTCTCCAAACTGGTCCACTATGCCTCGGATAGAAACAACAACTCAGTCACACATTCTTTCTCGGCTCCTTGCTCAAATTCAACCGATTTTCACGATTCAAACTGCTCTGCAAAGCTGAGATCCACACGCTTCATTTGATGTCCATAACGCATGCGCTGGGCAAAAGGGAAATCCCCTGGCATGCTCCAAAAACTGCGAAGTCAAGAACAAAAAAACGCGATCGCTCCATGCCGTGATTTCCGTGTTCATTTTGTCGCCGCTTGGTCAATCTTTATCCTATCGCAAAGAACTTTATAATTTATATCTCTGGAAAGCTGAGCTCAATACCTTTCCAACGGTGTGTCGTTTGTCGAGATCGGATGCTCTTTCACAGAGTATCAAAAGTTTGTACATTGGTCTATTCACCACGACGATACACATCGCGAACCGAAGCGCGTGTATATACGTCATCAGAGAACCGGCATGGTGTTAACGCGCGCGGATACACGTCATCCGCACGCAAAGGGTTAACAAGACCCAATGTGTGGAAGGCCACAACCAAATTACAAAAAAGGAAGAAACGGGTCATGAGCCTGAAAATCCCCAAATTGGGTTTGAAAAAGAAATCCAGTGATATAACGCACCCACAATGGCAATAGGAAAGTGTACTTCATATCAACCGCACTTCTTATCCCAACATACTTCAGTATGGATGAACACACTCGAGCTCCAGACATTTGCCCGTACTAACCATGAGCATATATTATCAGATTACATACTACTGTACGTGAGTTCTACTGTAGTTCTGAATGTACAGTGATCAGCGCATGTACACACGTGAGAGAGAGAGAGAGAGAGAGAGAGAGAGAGAGAGAGAGAGAGAGAGAAACAGAGAGAGGCAGCACAGCACTCGTACAAGTCTAACGCATTGTACTTGTAGCGCTGTAGAATTTCTACTGGACCATGTCGACATGTCAGGGTTTCATCTTCTATACTATTCAGTTGAAGAAGAAGAAACGATTCAAACGACCACTTGCAACTCACCTGCCGAACTTCTCTGCAAAGTCATGCCCTTCGACATGGACATAGAACTGAGATGGGTTTTCAATGACAGTTACCGTCACGGTCCGTTTGGAGAGGAAAGTTGTAAACGGTGCACGCGGCGCAATATCCGACGCCCACAGTGAAATATCATCATCGTCGCTATCTGTACTATCGTTGTCGATGTCATCATTATTCTCATCATTGTCATCACCGCTGGCCTCTTTGACGGCCTGCTCAGCGACCTTGCGCTGGCCAGAGCGAATGAGGCTCTGTTCAAGTGCAAACTGTTCGTCGTGACGCTGCTGCTTCTCTTCCTGCATACGCTGGATGTCCTCAGCTGTAATGGCTCGCTGGGACGGCGCTGCATTGCTTAACGGGGGTCTTTGCTCTGCAACGGCACATGAACAACACACACACACACACGCGCGCGCACGCACACACACACACACACGCTCACGCACACACACACACACACACACACACACACACACACACACACACACACACACACACACGAGGAAACAAGATAATAGCATCACTGGAAGTTGCGGTGCATCCAGATCAAAACTGTACCACAACTCAAGTTTGTCACATACTGGTGACAGCATATGGGGACAGTGTATGCAGGCCAGTTCATCTTGCACATGGGTGATGGACGTTTACAGGGGACTTTACAATATAAGTTGACACTTCCTGTGCAAAGGCAGGCTCTTCCATTGACTTGACAGAAAGTTGTGTGAAAAGGTGGACAGAAAAGAGAAGAATCTAGCACAAGCAAACCTGTTCGACAGGGAAAACAGGCACTTCTACCGATACAACCTAGCAACTCACGAGTTCCTTGGTGTTCCTCAGGACCATCATCACTGTCATTATCATCATATTCATCTTCAGCACCTCCAATGCGGAAGTCACTCGGTCTGGGCTTGGAGCGAACAGAGGAGTTGACTCTGGCTGTGAAGTCAAGATGAGTTGCGGCTGAAGATCTGCCAGCTGTGTGAGTTGCACCCATGTTGCTTGACGCAGCAGCAGCAGTAGCAGCAGCAATAGGAGCAGGAGGGCCACTGGACCTGGTAGAAGCTCTCATCTGTTGCCTATCGGCAGAGGAAAAGTGTGACGGGCGCTTGCTAGGCGATTGGTGCAAGTCTGCTGTGGTGCTTCTGTCTTGGAAATCGCCCATTGGTCTGGGTGGAGTTGTTCCCGGTGGCCGGGTTGGTGGAAGGTCATACACGTCGTAGGCAGGCCGCTTAGATAAGGCCTTGGGCGACTGCTCGTGCTGGCACAGTCCAGGTGCTGGTGTTGATGCTGGGTGAGACATGCGCGTTGCTTCCACAGAGCTATCCACTGTAGCAGCAAGTCGACGGCCATGCTCATTCGCAGAGTACACGATATCATCAGACGCATCCATTGAAGCAAAGGCCGTGCTCAACTCTGACTTCATGGGGTCCTGGTCCTGCTGCTGCTGCTGCCATGGCTTCTGATGCTGATGCTGCTGCTGCCATGGCTTATGCGGAGAAGGGGGAGATGACTGGTAGTGAACACTCTCATCATAAGTTGATCTGCACACCGAAAACACAGAAAAGGAATGGAAAGCTGAAATCTTACAAAGTTGAGCACAAAACACATCATCCCATTGACTCACTGCTGTGAGCGGCCCAGCCCCAGGGAGCAGCTTCAAGTGTACCAGTGATCAGCTGTCACCGCACACAACCTACTGTGTACAGTCTGCACACACAGCCAACAAAGAAAGCGCATGTCACTTGCAGCACGTACATGTACAGAGGTGACCTGGATCGACAGCCAACGAGCTTCACTCACCCATACGATGCTACTCCCAGTCGCACTAATTCATCGGAGATGATCACATCATGGTCAGACTGTGTATCCACCAGACTCACTGGTGTACAGCCGGTATCCAGTACGGCGTCTACAACAGCACACAGCATGTGTTCACGTTAACTTCATTGTTAAGAGTGCAGAGACTGAACTGGCATACAGTGCCGTTCTTCGTCTTTTAAACGCATGGGGCAGCGAAATACATTGAATGTAGTTCAAGTACCAGAAGAGTCTGGGTAGTTAACGTACTGGCAGACCATAGCAACAAACATACGGCTGCAGACGGGGATGACCGGTACATGGAAACACAGCAAACCAGCACATGCATGACATCACGTAATGCATGCGTCCGGTCCAGGATGTAGTAGCAGAAATGCCAGGACAGTAGAAGACAGTGAGTGGATACAACATGCAAGCGAACAGAGCCTACACACTGCACCTGGGTAGGACACTGAGCAGTTAACCATTCGACAAACTGACAGGCGGGGAGTGTGCAGGCAGCAGAGCAAGCACATGCACGCGCACACGCGCACACACACACACACACACACACACACACACACACACACACACACATGTATAGCACTTACCCGTCACCTGAAGCACACAGCCGTTCTGACAGCAACTTTCCAATTTCTCACCAGCCTAGGACGCACATGCAAGCACACACACACACACACGCACACACACACACACACACACACACACACACACACACACACACACACACACACACACACACACACACACACACCAACAATCTAATCAAAGGCGGAATGAGCACACTACACATCCATGAACTGCGTACAGAACTCAGTATCTGCTAGGAGCAACCACCTCTAGCCAGGCACAAACTCATGAAGAGCATAAAGGCAGGAAGGAGGCCATCAAAAAAAAGAAAGAAGCTGAAATGGGAAACAAAACAAGACACGCATCCCAAGCCCTTACCCGAGATGGCCACGTCACAGCACCTCTTGCGGGAACGAGATCTGGCAGACAGCAGTGTAGAGCCTGTAAGAATAGTGCATGGACACCAAGTAGAAAACAGTGCTATAGGGATAGTACATGGACACCAAGTAGAAAACAGTGCTATAGGGATAGTACATGGACACCAAGTAGAAAACAGTGCTATAGGGATAGTACATGGACACCAAGTAGAAAACAGTGCTATAGGGATAGTACATGGACACCAAGTAGAAAACAGTGCTATAGGGATAGTGCATGGACACCAAGTAGAAAACAGTGCTATAGGGATAGTACATGGACACCAAGTAGAAACACAGTGCTATAGGGATAGTACATGGACACCAAGTAGAAACACAGTGCTATAGGGATAGTACATGGACACCAAGTAGAAAACAGTGCTATAGGGATAGTACATGGACACCAAGTAGAAAACAGTGCTGTCGGGCGCCGAAGAACGACCAGGCTAGAATTTCACCAAGCGCAGCATGCCAATGTATACATGGCGACTCAACTGTGCATAGACTGCATGCAGTACATGGAAATAAGAACAGCCTGAGCTACAAGGCTGATCCCCAGTTCTTCGGCGACCGGCAGTACTGCAGTACAGGGACACTAAGCAGGATAATAGTACATGGAAACCGAGCAAGTAGCATTCCGCGAAGAACACACTTGCTATTGAAGCGTACTGACAATCTTGGCTCCATTCACACTCCATTCAAGTGACATCTCTGAGGGTGTATGCACGCAGCATGGGCGTAGAAGAGCAAAGCATGCATGAAGTACGAGTAGTGCACTGCACAGTGCCCTGTGATCACACTACAGGCCACAATGTACTGTCTGTAAAACTGGGCATTTTCGGTGGCGTAATATTTTCGGTAGTTCCCAAAATCAACGGGTCAATAGCGCGAAAATTTCGGTAAACCAGGTTTCCAGGTTCAAACATGCATTTTGCGCACTGTGTGGCCAGGCATTGTTGAATTTTAGGTCACAGTTTGTTTTAGGTAAAAATGACCTGGAACGAAGTTCAGAAAGTGGTGGACATCATGCAACTGCATTGTAAATAGAAGGGGGTTCGTCAACTGACAACCGCTCTATTTGAACTTAGAAGCTGCGACTTCGGCGGTAATAGTCATGAAGTTGGTTGCTCCAACGAGGAGCACACGCTTCTTGCCGAACTCTCTATTTGAAGTTATCGAAAATAAAACACCACCGAATTTTCCTGGTTTTACAGTAGGTACTACGACTAGTAGTACAGTAGTGCTGTTAGTGTTACTATACCTGACAGTAGGTAGTACAGTAGTGCTGTTAGTGTTACTATACCTGACAGTAGGTAGTACAGTAGTGCTGTTAGTGTTACTATACCTGACAGTAGGTAGTACGACTAGTGCTGTTAGTGTTACTATACCTGGCAGGGCAGTTTCTGGTACTCTGGTGGGATATGGTAGAGTTTTGTGAGCTTCACCTCCTCACAGTTCCCATAGTCGACAAACTGGACTGTAGCGTGGTGCTTTCCGGTCAGATCTGCGAGAGCCGGGTTAGAGCAGAAACGAGAAAGAAACTTTTCACCATTTTTTTTCTTTCTAAAGCAAGCACATCGTCCTTCTGCGGACTTTCCGTGCGCTCTGGATGGCAGTTGTGAGTCAGGCAAGTGTCAATTCAAGTCGGCAGAAAAAGCGCGAGCTCCCAAGTAGGGAGCAACACACTAGCAGACAGCTCTCAACAGCAATTCCTGAACCAATATGCCATTCAGCAACGTCATCTCAGTCCTTTTATCTACATCAGGTATACATGTACGCAGTTGGATTTCGACAACATTGTGCATATACACTAGGGGTGAAAGTTGGCAATGAGATCCCGAGTTCGAGTACTCTGATTTTCTGCGATCGAATATTCGAGTATTCGAGTATCCTTCATCTCCTAAAATTGTACACAAAGGGCCTTCAAATCGCAGGATACAACCCCGATTGAACCGAGTAGCAATCATTTTTTTTCTCAGGTACATGTATATTGGTTGGTGGGTCATTTGGGCTCCCTCTACTCATGAACAAATGTTCCCCACACAGTCTGCACATCAATATCTGCCGACTGCTGCTCTGAAACTTCAGATTCAGTGGTAAAGGCATGTACCATGTATGAACGAGTACTCTGATTTATTCCGAGTACGATTATTTTTGAAAAAACCGAGCGAGTACTCGAGTACTCGGTATAATTGTTTCACCCCTAATATACACGTATCTGCACTCAATCACTTATGCACATGAGCACACATAATGCATATAGCAGCGGCAGCAGCAACAGCACACTAAAAATATTATATCTCTGGTGTTCCTTCACCAATTTTCATGAACAAAGCATCTACATTTCGAGAGGAACCTTGGCTATCACGTCGAAGTTATCCGAAGTCTCTAGGAGGCACGATGCAGCCGTGGTAAGACTCGAAGTCGGAGGAAAACTGAAAAATTCACTCCGATCGAAAATTTCAAAATTTCATGCTGCGGTTGGCGGGGGATTTCCCCGGAATTAGGGCTGAAACGATTATACCAATTACTCGGCAAGCGATCGATAATTCCTTATCAATCAAGTAATCGTTACGTTATAGATTACTCGTTAGAGATTTTGAGTCCAGAAAGTACTGAAAACCCTCGTTTTTGTGAAGTTTGAATCAGTTTCCGCTGTGAGTATGCAGTTGCCAGGGGCATGGTGCATATTCTGAGGTTAAATTGGCTTCAAACCTACCCTGTCACTAATGCAGAATTTTGGTATAATGAAGGCCTAGCTTTCGGAAACAGAGTAATTTTTGCGCAAAAATCTAACACTATTTGCTAACACACAGGCAGGCACAGGCAGGCATAGTGGGATGGTCTAAGACCATGATTGAGAAACAGAGGGTACCAGGTTCAAGTCCTGCTTGGAAGCGGAAGGATTTTTTCCAGCCGTGCTGCGACCCACAGTTAATTGGGAACTCGTGGCCTGGCACGAGGGTAACATGGATGCAGCTAATGGGATTTCGGTCTTTGACCACTTGGTGGTGGGTCTGATCTACTCACCTCCCACCGTTCAGGCGCTGCATCTGCGCCTTTGATCCTAGAGGGTGGTGGCGTTCCCACGGCGGATGCGGAAAACTCGGCTTCCAGCCGAGTCTCACGCGAACCGTGAAATTTATTATTTTTTTATTTATTTATTTGCTAACAATAATAATCGATTAATCGATAGTTAAGCTAAAGAGTAATCGATAGGTGAAAATCCACGATCGTTTCAGCACTACCCGGAATGCTACGTCATACTCAAGCATGCTGCACGCCAAAATTGTGCGCTTGAAACGAGCTTTCCGCTGTAGTTTCTTTGAAGTCGATGTGATCAAGGAGAATGGAATGGCGGCGGTTTGAACTTTGCTGGAGCTGTTCGCGCACGGCTGCGGTTTTGAGCGGCGTTCTAGGCCACGAAGAGCAGAGGCCGTGCAGGTAGCTGGCTTGAGTGTGGTATTGGTCGCTTCGTCTTGGAAATACCTTTCCAGCGGTGGCTAGTTTGTAAAAATCGGCGAATGTTTTGGTAGAGATACAAGCGAAAGTGCATGTTATTTGAAGGTGAGTAAATTGTCGTACTTTCAGTGGGGTCACAAAGGGTTAACCCTTTATGGACTGAACTCAATGTATGTGGAGAATTGTGCCCTCAAATTCTTTACATTGAATTGGACGTAACTTTAGTTTCAATGGGACAATTGTCATCATCTTGGGCATCCTGGAAAGCCCTTGACGAGAGGAACACGATGAGCCCAAACTCGAGTCCACGAGATGCGCTGGACCAGTGCTGCAAGCCAGCGAAGGCGTTTCAGCGCGGGCCTCGCGCTCTAGATCTCCATCCGCCATTTCACTTTCCTTGCTCGTGTGTAGCTGAAATATTTTGTTGGCACTCGCGGAAACCCCTGTTCGAATTTGAATGAGTGTACCCTTGCCAACAGGCGACGAGTTCAGGGAAAATCCCGGCCGTTCAGTCACGCATCACGGCCCTGAGTTGACCGTGACAAACGTTACGCGCGTCGTAACTCACTCACCGTTCATCCTATCGCTTCGTGAATTGTTCGAGACGACAGCTGAGAGTTTTCTCTTTTTCCTACATATTTCGTTCTCTCTAAACAACTGAGAATTGACCAAGTTACGGTAGTTTGAACATATTTGAAAAGTGTAGAATTCATCGATCACCGGTGATCGATAAAAGTATGTGCCGTCGGTAAAGGGTTAATATCATCATCGACTGTGATCTTACCGAGAATTTTGCCTCTATACCATTGAGCGTCCACACTATATTGCACACAGCAGAACGACCCTGGACAAGAAAATACAAACAAATGCAAACGCAGACACTGTTATGTTATGGCGTAATGTCGTACAACTTAAGCTCTACTGTGTATGCACGCACGCACTTCTTTGAGAGTCTTCTCTGTCGTTTACAGATTGAATCTTCTCCGTTTTTTCCACTTCATGTATTCTAACTACTTGTGTCTTGTCTACCGAACCTAACATGGCGCAGTGAACTACTAGTAACCTGAGTACGGAATATTTGACAGCCTGTAGTTGTCCGTGAATTCTGTAGCCTTTTATTTTCAAACAGATTGATCGTGTAGCATAAGTGTCTTGTAGTTGTAGAATTTGTAGAATTGTCGTGATGGCGGAACCTGGAAGCTCCCCGATCAGTGCAGAAATTGCATCCCTGCTCGCCTTGATGCAGCAGCAGATGAAAGTGGCCGAGGCACGCGAGACTCGCCTCACCACACTGGTTGAAAATGCAACGCGCGACAACCAGGGACCACGCAGCACCTCGACATCTCACAATCAGAAACCAATTTCTGTCGAGCGACCTGTATTGCTCAGCATCGCAACCATGGCCGATTTCACGGCATGGGAGGAGGCTTGGAACGACTATGCTGTGTGTCAGCACCTCGCCAGCCAAAGTCGTGAGACTCGGGTGTCAGCACTTCGTCAGGCTTTCGATGCAGATATTCGCCGTTTCATGCGAGATAAGATGTAATTGTCGTCTCCCACAATGCCGATGCTCCGGAGATCATAATAGCCGTGAAAGCGTATATCCGACGGCAGCGGAACCCCCTCCTTGATCGGATTGCGTTTTACAATAGGAAGCACCAGCAAAATGAGTCGTTTGACTCCTTCTTCACAGCAATGAGGGAACTGTTTGCACAGTGCGATTTCCCTGACATGGAGCTGTGTAGCACATGTACACCTCAGCTGTGTAGTACTTGCCCCCAGAGCCTCCGCAAGGTGACGGACGACATGATGCGGGACCGCATCGTAGTTGGCATAGCCAATGACGACACATGCCACACGCTCCTGGCAGCTCCGTCCCTCACCCTGGAAACCGCGGCTAAGATTTGCAGGGCTGAGGAAGTTGTAGTACCCCAATTTGTTGGTCAACAATCGTGCCACCATTTGATCCGCCAGATGCAGAATGTTTGGATGTATATACATTGATTTGTGTGCTTCCTGGCAATCAATGCCACATCATGCGCATTGCTTCATCAACCAAGAAGGTTCAGCTAGAGAAAGCGATGTTGGAAGGGCAGCACTCGAGAGAGGATCTCTCACCCCTTGCTGCCGGGGAACTGTTGATTCGATTCAGCCAGGGAAATTTCCTGGATGGACATTGCCTCATCCTGGAACTAGCAAGCAAAGGTGTCACAGACTTTGGCGATCTATCAGAAGCTGATGACTCCTTCCTGCTTCACGTGATGGTGAAACCGAAGGAGTCGTATTTCAGGATATCGCGCTATATCAACGAAGTCGTGATGAGTGGAATTCATGATGCATTCCACGGAGGTGAAGATGTCGGTGTCGTAGAATTTATGAGGATTGTAAAGCTACTGAATGGTAGAACATGTTCGAGGCTCTCCGACCTACACCTAGTTGAATCGGAAGCCATGCAGATCGCCACACGATCAACGGAGGTTACAGATTGAATCTTCTCCGTTTTTCTACTTCGTGTATTCTAACTAATAAACTACTTGTGTCTTGTCTACCGAACCTAACAGACCCCTTGAAAAAATTCGACCCGGTTGACGGCATGGACTGAAGAGAACTAAGTTGAGTTTCTTGAGCGAGTAACGTGTGTTGGCATCAGAGAGCAAGTGCACCGATTTCGAAGTCGGATCAAGCACTTGCAACGCACATGATCCACACTTTATTTCTCCTCAGCTGCGATCAAAAAACAAAAAAACAAAAAAATTCAAGGTTCGCTAGAGATTCAGTTAGACTGAGTTCTCAGCATCCGTAGGAACGCCACCACCCTGCAAAGATCTAAGGCGCAGAGGCGGCCCCTAAAGCGGTGGGAGGTGAGTAGATCAGCCCACCAGCAAAGTGGTCAAAGATCGCTGTGATCAAGCAGTGCTTGAAATGTTCTCACGTCCGTCAAGGATTGAAGTGGGACTATTGCAAACAGTTATCGACACAGAAAAAATCCAAAACAAGCTGGGATTCGTCTCAAAGTGATACACCAATATTTCCAGACTTCTATCAAGAAATACAGGTACATGTAGATTGGTTGACTAGCAAAGGCAAGCATATTTGTTGGGAAATCCCAGCACTGAACATCTACAGGCTGTACCAGACGGCTCTTTGGTGCTACAGGTCAGTTTATTGTACTACTCCTTACTCTGTAACTCAAAGAGTATCCTGCCACAGATCAATCTGCGCGCCTACGTATGGTACTGTAAGACCAGATATTTAAACGTCAAGTAAAGTTAACGATCTCCGGATTTTTTGGGTTAACGAGGTGAAATTCTAACGAATTCTGTCTCAAAACTGGCAAATGACTGTACATATCGTTTAGTACATAACGACTTCAAATGTTAACGATTTTTTTAAATTCGTTACATCGTTAGAATTAAATGTTCGTTAACATTACTGGTCTTACAGTACATGCTTTGGTAACCATCTTGCCCGCAGGGTGAAAATGATTCTGAGGGTCAAACTGGCCGCGTATACTCGTGTCATCTCCCGGGATTTACTACTCTCTGGTGCACGGCACAGCAAAGTACGCAGATGATTAATACAACTTACCCGGAAAGGCATGAGGTGCTTGCTTGTTTGGTAACAGATTGGAAAATTTGGCAGTGAGTTTCTCTGTCATTCGCTGGATAATAGCCGAATTCTCAAGCTAACGGAGGCACACACACACCCCCACACACACGTACACACACACGTACACACACGCACGGATATATGCATAAAAAGTAGTTATAGTGGTAGTATTTAATTGTGTTCCTTAGCAAGTGTTCAAATGCACGTAGCTGAGGTAGAGTGTTTTCTCACATCTTTGTCAGCTAACTAAATTCGTGTGTAAAGTGATTGATCATGGCATGCGGACATTAAAATTAACATGGCCGACATCACGTGACCCATTGACGCAGGAGTTGATTGGAGTTGTAACCAACATGGCTGTCCTGTTTAGCCATGTGATAGATGTGAAGTCACTCTAGCGCATCAACCTTTCTCTGAAATCTTCTGCATTCTCTGCCAATCCCCCCCGCGACTACCAGCCAGCATAGTCAGGCCTAATGACACAGGGACACTTGCGCGTGAAAACAATCCTTAAGGATAAGACGATGCACTCATAACTCCGAATTACATACATGTACATTCTGACGGGGAAAGGCCATAGACATGGCATGTGACGTCACCATTTTCACACAAAGTGACAAAAGAGTGGTAATATTTCCACACAAAGTGACAAAAGAGTGGTAATATTTCCACTGAAACTCGCCCAAAGGGTGCACGGTAGACCAAAGTGCCCGTAACTTCGGGGTTCGGATAACCGAGGTACGGGCGCACTACTAACCAGCTGGACGTAGAAGTCAGCAGGTGATGTAGCACACGACACTTGCACATCACACAAGGTGTCAGCTAGCAGTCGTAGGGTGGGAAGCTCTAGCATACCTACAGATAACAAACAACAAGGACATAATTATATGCTACAGTCGTCGCCAAAAAAATCCGGCCAATGCTATGCTAGCTACCGGTAGCTGTACGTGGCCGCATGCACTGCACTGCCACTGCTAGTGCTATGTGCGCGCGCTCAAAGCCTAGCTAGTGCCAGTACGGCAGTAGTGGCAGTGCACGGCACATAACATGCTCTGCTGCCGGACCTGCACTCTGCATGTGCAGGGCACAGTCAGTCTGTGCTATGCTCGACTGCCAGCAGGCAGAGTGCAGCGCGGACTGTTTTAGTTCAGTGCTGTGCTGGTATACCCTCTACTGTCTGTAAATGCATGCATGCGACAGGCACCATGCCACTGTACATGTATCCATGGCATTGGCCGGATTTTTTTGGCGACGACTGTATGTATGTATGTATGCATGTATGCATGTATGCATGCATGCACACAAACAGACATACAGTGTAGATGCAATCGCGGAAATAAATGCAACAGGACGTACATCGAAGCGGGCTGCAATCCACGAGGTAAAATATCTAATTTAGCAAGATCGTGGCCCGTCCATCATAGAGTTGTTGGTTATATTAGCAATATCAAAAGCCAGCACATGATAGCACTATCTCCTCAACAACAAACCTAGATCAGGTGTTGGCTTTGGCGCCGCCTGTTGTGGTGCTCCCTTTGCAAACCGGGCGTGTTTCGAGTACACAAGGGCGTCCACAACAGATGGAGTTGAATCGCGGGTGATGCCTCGCAGGTCAACAAGGTGCCGCTGGCCACGACTACTATCCACAACCTGAGCAGAACACATACACATGAGATGCCGACATTCGCACTACAGTACCAGTACACTGGTGGCCGTTGGGCATGTGAAAATAGGACCGGGCCATCACATCAGAACCACGCCAAGAAATAGTACACACAGCTCAGTGTGGGATGCCTGATTTTAATACACAGGTGGTTGCGCAACAGCCCACGTAGAGTCTGCCATGGACTCAGACTGAGAGTTCCCCAGCAATGCTATGCATACAGTTGAGTACTGATGAAGTGAGGCACAAATACGAGCAAATAGAGCAACAAATTCATCGTTAATTACATTCACTAATACGAACCTTGACAAAGAATTTCTTCTCATACGCCAACGCGTGAAAAGCCTCCACAACTTCCTTTGGCCAACTATCACCCTAGTCAGAGAGGCAAACGAAAGAGACCAATCATCTAGGGCTGTTATCAATAGAGCGCATCAATTATTTACGTCACTGATTCACATCTGCACCACTTGGCATTACCCATGGCCTAAAAGACGCTCGAGAGAGAGAGAGGGGTGTGTGCACAGACTCGCACTGCTCATTCATTTTCCTCATGTTCCTTATACTTCACCATGTCCTTTATTTCGCCTTTGGGCATCTACATACATGTACAACGCATGCACTGCTCGTACATGTTTGCACGCACTGCACTGATTGGGGCAACCAATATGCAACCTGATACGCTTGGCTGCGTTCTGCGTGCAGCATGCAGATATAAGATACACAGGACTGTGCGCCTGTCCCGGCTCTGGGTCACACTCACAGCTCGGCGATCGAACATACAACGTATATTACAGCAGTTTGGAGATCTCAAACTGTAAAGTTGTTTTCTGGTGATTCTGGTGATTCTTGCTCAGCATTGCTAGTCTCCGATACGACAGCTAGGGTGAAGATTGCTGGGCAGCTCAGTGCTCCCTTCTCGACCAATATCGGAGTGGTTCAGGGAGACCTGATGTCTCCGGCCATGTTCATTGTCTACGCAGAAGGTGCGATGAGGCAGGTGAGAGCAGCCTGCACCTCCCCTTCATGCCTGTCTACTCATTTCTCACAGTATGCAGAGGACACCACAATACATGACACTGATCGTGATGCTGTGGTGGCCGCTGCAGCGAAATGTGAGCCAATTTTCGCCCAGGATGACCTGAGATTAAATGTAACAAAAACTCAATTTGTACCTCCTTCCTAGGATGATGACGCATGAAGAAAGACGAAGCTACTCGGAAGTCTCTTGGGATCTGGAAGTGACATCGAGAACCGTATCAATGCCGCTAACCGAGCGTTTGGCACCATAGCCTGGAAGAGACACACTTTATATCTAGATTGCTTATGTTTACCACACTTATCCTTCCGGTTCTATTATACAACTGTGGTCTGTGGACCTTGACAGTAGCACTCGGCAACAGGCTCGACACGTGGCATCGCCGCAAACTACGATCCATTCTTGGCGTAGTGTATCCCCAAAAAATATCGAACAAAAACTTATACAAGCTGTCCAACCAAAAAAATTGCCTATCACTAGAACATGCAGGGAACGGCGCTTGTTATGGTTCGGCCATGTAATCAGAGAAGGCAGTGACTCAACATCCTACAAAGCTCAAAGACTTTCAATCGACACCAAAGACATCAAGAAGCCCAGAGGACGCCCCGTAACCAGATGGATCGACACCATCAAGAATG